TAACCGCTGGTTATTGTCTCAGCTTTAATTAAGTTGTACATAATTATATTAACTATCGGGTGCTAGACAAATAGTACTAGCATAACCGCTGATTATTGTCTCAGCTTTAGTTAAGTTGTACGTAGTTATATAACTATCGGGGGCTAGACAAATAGTGCTAGCATAACCGCGGATTATTGTTTTGAACTTTAACTAAGTTGCACATGGGTAACTGTAGGGGGCTAAACAGAACTACTATTTAAAGAATGGTAAGCATGGGCGACCTATTAAATAGTATTAGTCATAACCTCAGAACTACTATTTAAAGAATGGTAAGCATGGGTGACCTATTAAATAGTATTAGTCATAACCTCTGGCTAATGTTCAGACTGGCGAGTTTGTGATCGTGGGGCCCACGTAAAACGGCCGACGTGAGGCACCTAATGAACGAGTAAATATAAAGAGTTAAATAGAATAATCAAATGTCAGAATAATAATAATTAGAAATGGTCAAGCAACCAATTCATATGACAATCTAAATTTGAGGTCATATTAAAATGGAGTCAGATTTGAATTTAACCTTTTAACCCGCACCTGGACGCCGGCGCACTGAACACTCTTTGTTTGCACGTGTCAATGTTTACGAATAGATTAAATGAAAAGGGACATAATTATGTCAGAATAATAATAATTAGAAATGGTCAAGCAACCAATTCGTATGACAATCTAAATTCGAGGTCATATTAAAATGGAGTCAGATTACAATTTAACTTAAATTAAATAACTTTGCGTGCTGAAAAGACCAAACACACAAGAAACCTTCATCCACCATTGGATACCTTCCTTGGGCAAAGTGCGTGGACCTTACAAAGGTGATTGAGGATTGGAGTAATGTGCTTGTTCTTTCATGTGTGAGTGAACAAGCGGGCTGCACAGATTTGAACATATTGTTTTTAGCTGAAAGGCCATAAAGAAGTGAGTTACAGTAATCTAGTTGAGATGTGAGGAAGGCATGTATTACAGTTTCAGCATCCTGCTGTCTGAGAGAGGATCGAATACGAGATATTACGTAGGCGGAAAAAAAGCTGTCATTACCACTTTACCAATGTGATCATTACATGAAAGAGTGGAATCAATGAGAATACCAAGATTTCGAACTGTTGTGGAGGGCATAATAATAATAATAATCATCATCCATAAGAATGGTTATGATGAGTTGCACTAAGCTAAATTAAAGGAGACTGCGTTTCCAAAATTTACAACGCCATTAAACAAATATATAATCAAATTCCATGGTGATGATGGCAATCATAAAAAATGCGAAACTAATTTCATGCCTTATTTTCAGAGGTACTATCCTGCATAGCCTCTGCATCAAGCCCTTCGAGATCATCCAAATCGTTTTTTTTTTTTCTCTCTCTCTCAGAGTCAGGTCAGCAGTCAGCGTGCCCTCATTATAAGATCTGATGAACTTGAAGTCACTAGTGCGCGAGCCCGTGGTCAGGTATGCGTCATAATTGTAAGCGCTGCGGAGAGTTCCCGCGCCCTCCACCTCTGCGTAATTTGGAGGGAGATACGCACTGGGAATGGCTACAGCTCCTTTAAAAAACAGTCTGGGCTTTCTCCTGCGACAAAACCTCACGGCCAGGAAGAAAGTGGAAACGGACACCAGCGCGATGATCAAATAAAACACAAATAGAGGAGCCCGGTTTGTTATTTTCTTCCACATGAGCTCTGTAATTCTTCTCCTGAAATACAGGTGGTTTAGATATGCGGAAATGAATACAAATGTAACCACGTTATCCACATGGAAAAGAAAACGCAAATGACTAAATATGGCAGATACAAGAGGAAAACAGATTATGTGCCTCTTGATTTTCTACAACGAGCTCAGATGTCAGTCCTGAAAATGACATCATGAACAGGGTGGAGAGAAACAGTAATCTGAATGTCAACGATTGCACTGGTAAACAGTGACACTAACAGTTCAATTATGAAACTGCAAGTACTCTCATAGCTCTGAAATTAAATGGTGAAACTTGGATATAGGGGTGGGCAAAATGGCAAAAATATCATATCACGAGTTCATTTATTTCAGTAATTCAACTCAAATTGTGAAACTCGTGTATTAAATAAATGCAATGCACACAGACTGAAGTAGTTTAAGTCTTTGGTTCTTTTAATTGTGATGATTTTGGCTCACATTTAACAAAAACCCACCAATTCACTATCTCAACAAATTAGAATACTTCATAAGACCAATAAAAAAAAAAAATTAGTGAATTGTTGGCCTTCTGGAAAAGTATGTTCATTTACTGTACATGCACTCAATACTTGGTAGGGGCTCCTTTTGCATTAATTACTGCCTCAATTCGGCGTGGCATGGAGGTGATCAGTTTGTGGCACTACTGAGGTGGTATGGAAGCCCAGGTTTCGTTGACAGTGGCCTTCAGCTCATCTGCATTGTTTGGTCTCTTGTTTCTCATTTTCCTCTTGACAATACCCCATAGATTCTCCATGGGGTTCAGGTCTGGTGAGTTTGCTGGCCAGTCAACTTTTGGTGCTTTTGGCAGTGTGGGCAGGTGCCAAATCCTGCTGGAAAATGAAATCAGCATCTTCAAAAAACTGGTCAGCAGAAGGAAGCATGAAGTGCTCCAAAATTTATTGGTAAACGGGTGCAGTGACGTTGGTTTTCAAAAAACACAATGGACCAACACCAGCAGATGACATTGCACCCCAAATCATCACAGACTCTGGAAACTTAACACTGGACTTCAAGCAACTTGGGCTATTATGTTTAGTAGTCTACTCTGCTGTTGCTTTAATTTAAGAACTGAACGGATCTAATATACAGGCATGCATCTGTTTTTCTCTCAACTGTTTACTTTTACTTTAGACATAACCATCTGTGTTTATATGTAAACCTTTTGTGTTTTGACAGTATTAGGGCAATCAGACTCAAAAGATAACTTAGTCCAGGAATCAGGCGCTGTTTGACAGGCTTTTTTAGTGTGCGCTAGCTTCAGGTGTACACGCTCAGAAAAAGCACATGTCAGAACAGCACACGAATGAAATGTTTAACCGGCAAGGCTTTAAAGCACATGCAAATAATGTACTTTTGTGATTGCGAAGTGCAGTGTCCCGTGAGTGTAACGCTACCGCCTAGTTAACATTTGATGTGAATGTATGCGTTATACAGTATATTGAGACGGAGGCGCCAGAACTGCAACTGGTAGAATGTGCGCTGGAGCAGGATACTATGATATTTCTGCAAAAGCAGATCGTGGAGACATTTTAATCATTCACGATCTAAAATTGTTATATCGCACACCCCTATTTGGATATAACACTTATCGTGCATATTAAATGATTTCATAATATCAAGAGGCATGCAAAATCAAATATTCTCCTTAGATATGAACAGAGAAGACGCCTAATTTTCTAAAGCATCTATGCGTAAAATAAACACGCCTGTGTGTAGACATACATAGTACAAAAGCAAAACCTCAACAGCAACAGACACTGGACCATACAGCAACGTGGAAAGCTTATAGAAATATGCAGACCCATTCTAAAACTTCGATTCAGTGAACTGAAGTTTAAAAGAAACACTGAAATAAAAATTTAAAGAACTTCATGAACATATTTCAGACAAAAGAAAAACAAAACAAAAAAACACCTATGTTTACGGACCGTTTCTCATCGCGTTTTCAAAAAGGCATCATTACAGTACAGTATGTAAAACTTTCGTTAATTACCGAGAACCTCGGATGACTCGTAATTACATATGTGCAGTGCACTGCAATTTTTGGGATTTTTTGTTATCTCTCATTTACCAAAATTATTCAAAATAAACAATGTCAAAACGTTTAGATGGATCTCCCATTGTGTTTCAGTTTGCAAGTATTGAAAACCAAATACCAAATAGTCTGTTCGTGTTTTTTTAATCACCAGCAGCAATCGAGATATGCCGTTTTAAATTCTAAATCATAAAATTCAATTGACGTGATTATGCGATAGTTTTCACTAATACTTCTATACATTTTAATTGTCAATTAAGATATGTGAGCGTGTGCTGCATGAGTACCATCCTCTCTCTCTTCTCCTTATCTTGCTCCAACGTAGACGCAACAACCTAAACAAACGTAAATGCTGATGCAGCACCATGGACAGCAACAGTAAAAAGATACCCGGTGTCATTTTCCATACAACAAAGTATATAGGCCTATTACTAAACAGAATATTATTAATTTAATTCTCTTTATATGCTAAATTCATAAAACCGAGACATTGACGAGAAAAAACAATATATATATATATATATATATGTGTGTGTGTGTGTGTGTGTGTGTGTGAAACATAACGATGTATGAATATACGAATATGTATGAAACACTTTTTAATGTAACTACATTTCAGACCTTAGTGTATGAATGTAAATAAGTCACGTGATCATTTTCGAGAACAGAACCTGTCAAAGCGATAAAATTAGAACACAATTTCACGTTGAATTAAGGCCATTAAATAATTGTAGAAAACAGAGCTCGTTAGTCCTACCTGAAACGAGTCGCTCATTTCCGCATCAAGCCCTTCAAGATCATCCACAGCAGACTGAGTCTTTTTCAGAGTCAGGTCAGCAGTCAGCGTGCTCTCATTATAAGATCTGATGAACTTGAAGTCACTAGTGCGCGAGCCCGTGGTCAGGTATGCGTCATAATTGTAAGCGCTGCGGAGAGTTCCCGCGCCCTCCACCTCTGCGTAATTTGGAGGGAGATACGCGCTGGGAATGGCTACAGCTCCATCAAACAACAGT